CTCTCTCTCTCTCCACAATGAGACGATACAGCTGTTTAAAAATAAAAACGAGAGTAATAAAAGATCATGTCAAAATTACTCGGAAAGATATTGCAAGAGCTAATACAGAAAGACAAATCGACCCTTTTTTTGAGTTACGCAACTGCTGTTTTCCTTTTATCTTTGTTCGAGCTTTTTACTATCGTACTCTACGCGACGTTTATTTTACTCTCTATAAACCATTCAACATTTACGAATGATACCTTTTACCTGCCTGCAGGACACTTTTTTATAACGTTAATAAATTGATAATTTATGGTGTTTAATGCACTCCGGCGACTGTATGCACGCGTCTAACACATACTTCGACAGTCTTGTCTAATTTTCGAAATTTTTTTCAGCCGTTTTCACAGAAAGTCGTTTTGGACGAAAGAAGAAAAGAGAAGAAAGAACGTAGGCCACGCTTAAATAATTAGAGAAATTTCAATTTCGCGATCGAAACGAAACCTCATCCCTCCTGCAACATTGTTCCGCGCGTTCTTGCATTCTCCCCCACAAATGGACATCTGCCATGTGTTCATAATCAAAGATTTTAATTTCTATTCCCCATTTAATTCGGCCGCCGCAATCGTCCATCGATGCACGATGCCACGTCGAACGTGCAGAGGGGGTGGCCAGACAAATTACTTTTCACCGATCCGATATTCAGAAAAACTAGCCTAACTACGAGATTCGCGGCGAGAATCGGCGCGGCAGAGGGGAGGTGGAGTCGAATTGAATCGTGTAAATTTTTCCCCGTGGCCAGAGCCTGTACACGTGTACGTGTGCATGTGCGTGTGTGTGTGTGTGTGTAGCACGTTGGTGTATCGGTTTGGCGGCCGGGTGCCGGGGCACTAAAAATCGTTATTCAGTTTCGGTCAGACGAAGATTGAGACCGGGCGAGAAAGAACGTGTACCGGCCGAATTAAAATCGTAAGCGACCGCAACCGCATATTGACCTCATAAAGTTGCCCCGGCGCAAAAAACCCCGGGCCGGGTGATGTCCCGGAAAAGAATTACTCTTTCCTCCAGCATGGAAAACTGGCGGCGCGGCCGGGCTCCGCAAGTGGAAGTGCGGTATAACGTTAATTGAATATATCGGATTCCTCGAGAATATCGTGATTGCGGCGATAGGAAATGGATGGAGAAATAATTGTCGGATACGTACGGGGAACGTGTCATACTAGTAAAGCCTCGTTTTTGCTGCAATTATATTTGTTGAATTTGATACGGCCGCGGAGAGAGGGGAGGGGAGGGGGTAGTGGGGGTTCGATCGAAAGCGGTAATCAATTTCCACAAGTGTCTCGATATCGTTCTTGCATTCGCCGGGATTTCAGCCTTCCATTCGTACGGTCTCGTGTACAATAACTAATTTCGAATCGAAGGTCCGGCAGCCGGGGCAGAGGAGGGAAAAAAAAAAAAAAAAAAAAGGGGGGAGAAAAAAAAATAAATAAATAAACTGCTGCATGAAAAAACAAAAAAAAAAAAAAAAAAAGAAAAAAAAAAAAGAATACTCACTGCTCCGAGCTTCGTGGTTGTTGATTATCTGACTCTGGAGTTCTGTTAATTTGTGCATTTCGATGGTTTCCGCTTCAGACGGGCATCGTGTGCCGTGCGTAGCAAACATCCAGACTTGTTCCGCGCGGCAATCTACAAGACGACGAAAGAAATGAAACGAGCGACTTGGAGGAAGCGAGATGCTCGATGAGAAAGGTGTCACGAGTACTCACTAGGCACATCTTGAAACCGCGTTTTACCAGCGTGGACAAAGTGATAGGCAGTTTTAGTAGCCATGTACAAATAGGGATCATCCTCGTCCGCGAAACAAAAGTCAACGTCACGCGCGTAAACGTGACTAATTAAGAATGTCAAGAATAGCACGTACGCGTTCATTTTCATGGCTGTATGTTTCGATCTGCAACAACACGAGAATGGAAAAATGGACAAGAAACTTGAAATTTCAACGGACGGAGGAGCCTGTTTGTAGTTCCAAAGCAGTATTGGATTTTAACGCTGACTTTGTTCTACTCAGTTAGGAAGAAGAGCCGTTTCTACGGCTCTCTGAATTCATAAAACTCTTCGTTCCATTGAAGCACAGCAAGCCGTAAACCTACATTTTCCTGTGCTGATGTCACGTGTTACTTTACTGCCGGCTTCACAAATTACCTACAGACTGACTGTACGGTAAAATAGATCTTATGTAATCAACAGGATACACGTTCGACTCTTTTTTTTTCCCTCTTTTTTTTTTTTTTTTTTATTCCTTTTCACGGTCAAGCGAAAAAGATAAATATTCCCGAAGCTTATGCAACACAAATCGGCAAATTTATCGAAGAAAATTGCGACTAATGTGTTTCCGGCCCGAGATGCGTCGAAGTTTGTTTTGATTAGATGTCACTCGATTCGAAGGTTTTCAATCTCGCCGATTGGAATTTCAAATTGTCTCCGATGTAAGAGAAACTTTAATACGAATGTATGTGTACTTGCCTTAACCCAAGGTTAAGGATAAATGTAAAACATGAACGCGTGAATGTGAAAGTTAAGACGTGCACACGCATTGCGCGTACGGCCATTTACGTTGTACAATTAGCGTGTAAGAACAGGTTCTGGTGAAACGTAAAACTAGTATTTTCGCAAGCTAGTATTTAATGCACGATAATCGTTCTATTTTTATCGCGATTCGTCCGCGAATAAATAGTTGTTAATTTTTCGCGCGCTGGTTTTTCCTCAAACTCATGTCTTAATGTTGTTTCGATAAGCGATGATTTAGACTCTGCTTCTATAAATAACGTCATGATCGATTATGCTTCCTTTTTCGGCAAATAAAAGAAGCAGTCAAATTTGTGAATATTTAATTTTGAATTAAACGACGTAAATTGTGACAACTGTCTGAATTTTTAATTTCTAATTTTTGACACAGACGTTGACGTTTGATTCGATTTTCGAAACTTGTAAATTGTAAAATGAAATTGACAGTGAATCATGGAGAATCTATGAAGGCGGGATGCTGTTAAAAGAGCAATTTAAGAGTAAGTAAGGTTGACGATAACGTAATTGGTAGTGGCTTGATTAGCAAAGCCTTCTTTCAGTCTAATAAGTCTACTTGGCCTACTTATTGTTAATGTCTTGTGTCCGCGAGTGGCAAGTAGCCGCGTAAGCCTGGTACCGATCTGATTCTTCCGGAAAACCTCGTCGTTGTATTACACGTTTATTTCCTTGCGTAATCGTCTTCTCGTAATTTCACTTTCCCAATGTGACATTATATTCTGGGATAGCAATCATACAGAATGCGTATATTTCAAAATGAACTTTCATTTTACCAGTGTCACGGGCATTGACATTGTTATCGATGTGATTGATTTGAAATCAATTGCTGAATCGGAGGAATAATAAAACAAACTACAATTCGTGCAATTGACAAGCGTGGACTATAACATGTAGTTGATAATCGAGAGCAAAAGTAGGACGTCAACGTCACGCTTGGCGATCCTTGCTACCACTGTTCAACTATTTAATTATCCACGGGACGAGTTTATTTATTCAAATGAAATTCCTCCTAGATGTGCAGGCAGCATTCCATCAAAAGTTGAATGAAATGAATTTTCGCTGCGGCGTTTTATCCGCGCCGCTTTCACAAACCTGCGCTATCAATCTTATTATCGAAATAAAAATTAACTGGAAAAACATTACATATCGAATTACAGTAAATCGTAGTAAAGAAAATTTCATTTTCATCAAGAGAAATTACCGTGTTCTTCACGGCCTGTTTAGGCGCATTAAATCGAGCACTCGATCTATTGAAAATCCTGCAAAGAGAAAGAGAGAGAGAGAGAGAGAGAGAGAGGGTACGACCGACAATAATATCGTTCACTTTTCCTCGCGATCGATGAAGTGCTTTGCCCCCTTCAATCCCGAGCAAATGAGATCGTATCAATGTTTCATAAACACTTAGACACGATCGATCTCTCGCCGAAGCTCACGATCATTTTCTTTTCGTTCTTTGAATCAAAGCAATTCGTCGGACAAGCCTGTTTCCAATTGCAATTCTTCCTGGCGTCGTCAACGAGATCTCATTCTTCCTATACTTCTCTGCACGAAGATTGCGCGATGATGTTTCGAAGTTTCGCAACGCGACGCTCCGAACGATCGATCGGAGAGACACACAGTGTCTTTCGAAATTCTATGAACTCGATGGTGAATCACTGAGACACTTGTACCACTGCTTAAAAATACAAGTCAACTGTGACAATAGCGTGAAATACGCACGTACTCGTTGCCCGTGTGCCGATCGCGACCACCTCTCGAGGCGGCAGCTCGTGTGCCACTGCCGTAAGGTCGTCGAGCTTCGTTGCCTCGAGCGTATACTGTGTAAAAGTCGTATAGTTTCAGCGAATAGTGCATTACGGTTTGCAACCTTTGATCCTTCGCTGGTCCAATCGTGGCGGTTTCATGCGTTCTATAAAATCGTGGAGGCCCGTCATTTTGAGCACGCGCGATCGATAAAAACCTGGGGAAACAAAATCCCCTCTAAGTTGAAATGCCCTGTTGTAATATTCTGTCTTTTACTAATGACAAAGGACAACGTGGAAATGCTCACGTCCATGGGAAACGAATTTCCGAAACTTGATTTTATTTTTTAAATCGTACCCGAAATATCGAGTACATTGCACCTGTGAATATTTCCAAAATTCGAGAAACAAGTCAAAGCTAAACTGTCGAGTTGTGAACGAGTTGATTTTTTCCCAAGCTATTTCAAGCGTCAGTTTATCATTTATTGCAACGTTTAAGCACACCCCTACTGTGACCAACGTTGGTCACGGTAGTTCAGGTGCCACTGACATAAGGTCGTCAAGCTTCGTTGCTTCGCATCTGTACAGTCTATACACTTTGCACGCTGTTAAAACCATACATGTACATAACAATAGAACTAAAGAGTTAATTACGCTGTACAAGAATTCGTTTATTACGTCCAGAACGAAATAACATGAATCGGCGAATGTAATGCGCAGTGTATATGATTTATTGATCATTCAGTTCGTATTTCACTATATGCAAGACGTATATTGAAATATAAACGTTACATTAATAAAAATTAAGAGAAAAAGCATACAAGAATTTTTCTGACAATATGAAGTAAACGCGACTGAATTATAGTCATAATATATGAGCATATCGTTCATCACGTCGGCTTATGTGACAGTAATGTAAGGTCGTCTGGCTTCGTTGCTTCGAGTAGGTATATATGTACCTACGTACAGGTTGTCAGAACGTAATTTCTTCCACATATCTACGTAATTTCAAATAATCGTGAAATCGCTTCGTAATCGCTTCAGAATCTCTTACTATTACTTTTACGCAACAGTTGTCATTAATATATAAAATAAGGCTCCATTTTATGTACAGCATATCATTTTGTGCAAATATTTGTGTTACAGTTGAGCGCCGTGAATCCGAGTTTCTTCTTCAAATACTCCCAGTCGCACACGCCTGCTTCACAACCTTCGTAATCCAAAGGTTTCTCATTTAGGTAAAACCTTACTTTGTTCGACGAATCACACCTAAAAAAAAAAAGAGAGAAAAATCGATCCGAATAGCTGAAATTTTTTAAATAAAATCCAATAAAAAACAATACAAGTAGATGTACTTGTAAAAGACGGCCGCAAGGTTCGCAGCGAACGGCGCCAGATGAGAAGTTCTCCACTTTCTGTTTCTCATACTTTCATAGTTCGAAGCTTTCAAAGGCACCGAGTCTTTTGCAATCTCCATCGTTGTTAAAAATAATTGAAGTGTAGTACTGTGGGCAAAGTAGAAAATGCCTTGCGGTTCTTCGTTAGAATCTCCTTTCTCCAATTGTCTAAAATATCGTCATAGATTTGGCGGATGTGATATTTGTTATATCAGATGAAGGAAAACTCACGTAAAATGATTGAACATGTCCTGTAAAGGTGGACATCCAATGACGCTGCTCAACGTTTCACCATAACTGGAGTAGTAATAATAATAGAGATCCTCTTCGTACTCGAACACTTCTTCTTCGTCTTTTGTAAAAGCGGCACACCAAGGAGATCTTTTGTCGATGTACCAGGCATTTTCGAAAGAACAGGCAGTGTACATAATTAGAACATCATCTGAATCAAGTTGATTAAACAATCTTCGCTCGGAGTCATCGTATGAGGGAATAAATTTATACAGGACGTTCCATACCGAAAGAAAGTCTCTCTGAAAAGCCGAGTCGCCGGCTAACGTTGTCGATCATCCTACTAAATAGTGAACCATTTAATAATTTGTCAACTTCATTCTTGCCGGATGTATTACTCACTTGGTCCACCCATGGCTTGCAAATTTTATACAACTGAAAATGAGGAATAATCTCGTACAGCGTGATTGGAAATTATTTTAACGATTGGCAATTGAAATTAAAACTTTTTCGAACCTGTAACAAAGTGTCTTGAGAAGTTGGTACTACTTCCGTGTTGTTCACGGTTACATTATCAAAGAGACCGCTAATGAAACTGTCCATGCTAACTATAGTTCGTTCTGAATCTGTCGATCTAAACTGTACGTACAAGATAAAAAATTCGAAACGTATTAGGCAATTGTCATCGAAGTGTGTAGATGTTACAACGTTCGAAAGACTTACTTTATATTTTTGCTTCGAGCTGTCGAGCGGATAAGATTGCAGAAGTTCCGGGAAATAATCTTTAAACCGTGCACCAAGCGATAATAAATCTTTTTTACCTTGCGCTGTCAAATACTTGTGTTTGTGCTTGTCAAGATTTGGATCTAAATTCCACGTTCTCAGTTTCTCTAAATCCTTTTGGCACAAACTACCGTCTAATGACAAACATGAAAATAAAAAATGATTACGAATTGATTAGAAGATCTTTCGAAAGTTATACTTACTTCCATGTTGTTCGTGATTCTTAATGATTCTGTGTTGAAGTTCTGGCAAGTTATGTTTCATGTTTTTAATTTCTTCCTTTCCAGGGTTACGAGTCCCATGTCTAATTAACATCCAAATTTGCATTGGCTTGCAATCTAAGGGAAAAAGAAAGCACAAGAAATATCAGTACAAGAATTATTATGTACAATCTGTAATCTACAATTTGAATTTTTTATTCTTTTTCCAGTGCATATGTTTGACAAAGCCAAATATGTTAAAAGTCATAATTATATTTATACGACGTAATAATGCGTTAGGTATATGATTCAATAACTCTAAGTTGACTGTCTGTAATTACTCACTTGGCACAGTGGTATTTTTAATTATACCGTGTTCAACTTCATAAGCTGTCTTCGTACCAGCCAGCAGATAGGGATGTTCATCGTCTGAATAACAATACTTGACTGCCTCGCTCAAGATTAATTCGTTTGTCAAACAAAATAGTGCAATTAATATTGCAAAGAATTTTATACTTGACATTATCTCCTTTTCGACAGAATTTGCGCCTTTTCTGTAATCTAAAGTGAAATAATAAATGGACAACGAATGGATTCTGAAACACGCATAATTACTTTAATTTTTCATAACAGACATTTAAAAAAAGGTATGCGCATAAAATCGTTATGTAAAATGTTACTTCATAAAAGACAAAGTAGTATTTATTTTTTTATTTTTTTTAAATAAAATTCAAAAGTAGTATTTATTTATTTATTTTTTTGAAATAAAATTCGACAAAATTATCATACGTGAAACGTGGATTTTCTATCGTATAGTAGTACATATGTTTAAGTTCTGTTACTTACGTACTCCGGTTAAGCGATACAAATGTAATTAACTGCGCGTTCGTTTCTTTTATCTAGCTACGTTATCAATAATTTCAGATTTTTTTTATTTTATAAGACTTGGGTTATATTATATGGATATATTTTCGAGTGTATATTAAAACTAGGTTTTAAATTAGCAAAAACGTATTCATACTTCTTGATTTAATATGATTCCATAAATAAAAATATTAGATAAAATTTTAAGGTTAATTTCTTCAAAAACGAAGCGTCAGACAAAAAAATTTCTTTTTCTCGATTTATTTTTTCCCGTCACTCTATATAGTACATTTAATTGTGCTATTAATTACAAATTGCCCTATCTATCACAAAATATATAATTGATATTGATATAATAATAGATCTACAAAATTATATTTTATTCAAAACCTATCTTTAATCACAGCTGATAAGCAGGACGCGAGATAAACGTAATGTTAAAATCACAAATGGCCATTAACGTATAATATATTAATAAACTATAATCATCCTACAATCAAAAAAGCAACAACAAGTCGATTGATCGTAAAATGAAAACAAAAATCTGTACAATTAGAATTTGTAAATAACAAATTAATAAATTATTAAAAAATATATAAAATCTATAATATAAAAACATAATTTTCGAAGAAATCATCATAATCACTTTTTGGAGTAGATAATCAGAAAAGATAAAGAAATATATGTTTAAATCAAAGTATAGTGCAAGTGTTATTATTATTAGATATATATTTTTGATATTTTCTGTTATTATTGCGTCGCATGAAAAAACGTATAATTTAATGAAAATCAAGAGAACATTGTTCAAATTTTAATTTCGTCGAATTGAGTAAAAAATAAAAACGAAAAAGATTTGACAGTCTAATTTATTCATGGTAAAGAGCAAATACACAACAACAAGCATGAAAAGTTCGAGCTTCGTATGTAAATGTGGAGTAATTGTCTCTTTTAGCATCCCAAAGAAATCCCATGGATGATTGTATAGATTGATTTGCTTTCTCTATGATAGTTACATTAACCACAATCTTATATCTGAAAATAAATGTGGAATGTTAATTAATTAAATTATATAATAATTCTTGAATTTATTAAGGTAAAGTGTATCAAGAAAAAGAAAGTAATTACCTATCAAAGTTCAAATTTTTAATTTTTTCCCTAATATCTGTAGCTACTGACTGGCAAACATTCAGACACTCCGCAGCATCATAAGAGATATCTTCTAGTTTGGTAATCATTATCGTTTTTATAATCTTATCTACTGGGTCTATTTTAAAGGGATTGTAAGCTTCCAGACGATAAGTATTCTGATATTTTAACATCTACGATAAATATCGAAAATAAAAAAGAGCTAAAGCAAACAGAAGTACTACAGAAACTACTGATTATTTCTCTCTCTTTATACGTATAATTATGAAAAAATTATTTAAACTAATAATGATTCTCACCTCACGTTCGTTATCGTGGTTCGTTAGATGATTATCCATATTTAATTGAGACAGTACAATATATTAAAAATATAACTACAGTACCAGATTGTATCTGATAATGAACAACTATACTAACTCTTGATTAATTTTTCTTGGAAATACTCGAATCACGGGCATCTATACAGCATAATCTCGAGTAGTTACTTAGAAACCGAAGTAAACAATGTTGATTGATCAATTTTATGCTAAAACAAAATCAATAGCGTTTGATGTTGGATATTTAAGAGAACATGCAAGAAATATTTTTCTCTTATATTGCGGACACGATGTTAATCTTATTAATTTTTTGCATGCAACACTTATTTAAAGATATATTTGTTAAAATATATATGTTAAAGTTATATTTGTTAAAATTTTAGAGTTATCTATTCGTAATTAAGTTCGAAAAACCATTGCTGTCGTATAGAGTAAGCGTAGAGAGCATTTAAATCAATATCGATTTATGCGATACATTGAGCTGACTTCAATTATCGAACTGATTTGAATTATCGAAATGTTGCGCACTTCTGTGCAGTCAAGAAACCGCGTATTTTGATATCGTTTGTTCGCTCGTTCAAGTGGTGTAAATCGGATAAATAATACTGTTTTGTGTAAAATATTGCTTCCATCTATAAATATTTTTTGTATTAAAGTGTATGACGTAAATTAAAAAGAAGATTCTATGGATTTCTTTGGAATGGTACAACTACGACGTAACTGAAGCCGATAGCCTACCAAGGTTAGTCGAATATGTTCAAATTTTATATCTTTAGTTGATTAAAGTTTTGTATGCTTAAACAATTGACATCAATGACATTAGTAACATTGTTAATGTTATCGACTGTGTTTCCATAGTATAATAGTTGAACAAATACGAAAGAATAAAGTATATTTTCCAACAATAATTGTAAAGTTATTCTGTCAAATTAAACAATTAATTTCATTTTGATATTATAAAATAATACAAGATATTACATATGTAATACATATAATAATACATATGTAATACTTTCTTTTTATCTTATAATAACATATGTAAAGAGTTACATCAATTTATTCAGTTAAGTAAAAAAGATTCTATGATAGACTGACAGTTCTATAGCTTCATTTTATATTGTGTTTTATAGTTATATGAAATTCAATACAACAATATTTAAAATTTGTTCATTAACCGAATACATAATATCAAATTTTATAATATCAGTTACAAATGTTGCCATTGAGACATAAATACATATTTAAATGTTAGGAAATAAGCTTTTGCATTTCATTGTTGAAACAAATGTATATTAGAAATAAAAAAGTACAAACATAGGAACATTGAAACAAAATCATACTATAATAATAGTACAGACAGATATACATTCATGTTTGAGATTTAGCATTGAAAATAAAAGCCTTATAATTTGTTGTAGTGTGAAAATTATCTTTGTTTAATAAAACAGAATAGATTAGATAGTTTTGGTGCTAAATATAAGACATGAATGTACTTCTTATTTAATAATATATTACACTTTTGTGTGAATGACATTTAACATTCATCACTTTAAATGCTAATACACAAAATATAGGTTTGTACTACTTTACTCTACATGGAGATCAAAGTCTACTGACACATTAAAAGAATTCTGTGTCAATTAATACCTTACTTTCTCGTTTTTAATTAATCAAATAGTAAACATATTTGGTAACAAAAATCTCATAAAGATATATCTTCTCATGCATAAAATTCATTAATTATCCTAAGACAACAATTCAACTTCAGCTTGAATATTTTGTCGTGCTTGCTCTTCATACTTTTCTCGAAATTCCTTTGTGGCAAAAATATTTGGAATCTGCACAAAGTTTTGCAGTACCTGATCCATATAAAAGAGAATAGTTAAGGAATAATATATAATAGGAAAAAATATATTTATATTATTCATTCAGTGATACTATTACCTTTAAACGTAATGCAGTATACATTGGCTCACTAAGAAAAGAGTATTCTCCACGTATTTTTTCTCTATACTCTGCATAACTTTCTGGAGAAGAACCTAACACAGCCATGTCCAAATCTAAAAAGTAATGAGCATCTTCACCACCAAAGGCACCACCAATTTTATGTGCATCAGTACTATGTGTTGCAGCTACTTTCAGAAGTTCACAAGCTTCTTCTCTTAATTGTGCATCCTACGTGCATAAAAAACAATGTAAAAAAATGTATATTCCTCTACTGATGAGCGTAACAATCTAATATTATAGAATGATAGTTACAGCAGGAATTTCAGCTTCGTCTGCAAATGCATTAAAATGCTCTAAATTCTTATTTTCACCATCTAAAGCTTTAGGATCATATTCAAAGCTATAAAATTTAATTTAAGTTAGTTAATGCCTTTAAAGTTCAATATAAATTATTCAAATTATAGTTGTCATTCATTTTATGTCGTTCTTTTGCTTGAGCCTTACTTACTTCTGAAAAAATAAGGCAAGAAGCACAGCTTGAGGATTCTTCAAGTTATCCTTAATTTCATAATAACAATTCAATTTATCACAAAGAGAATCTAGATTATGATAAGTACGTTTTTCTTCTGAATATGCTTCTTGAAGTTTTGTGAACCATGTATCACAGACATCACTATTTAAACCGTCGGTTGCTTCTTTCCAACTCTTTTCTATTGATGCCATTTCTCTCTGAAATCGTGTATAGGTATTTTTAAGAATATTTTCACCCAAAAATTGCAGTTTATTATTTCATTAAATCTACAATTTTAATCTTTAAAAAGATAAAAAGTTTTTGTATACAGGTAAATGGTAGAATTCTTATAAATTTTCTAGAAGTGAAATAAATTGACTTCGTTAATTTAACATACTCACGGTGTATTAAATGAGCTAAACAATGTGATAGTTCAACTTAGAGATGAAAAGTAAGAAATTGCGCTACGTTGAAATTCTGATTACCGAAACATAATGCGTCGCTGTGGGTGTTCGCTGACTGAGTGGATTCTACTTGATAAAATAAAGTCCGCTTCCATTTATTGATCGGATTGTGTTCGAGTTTTATCAACGAAATGCAGCGTGATTTGCAATCATTTTCTATAAAACAATATATTTAACTTTTGTAGAATATTTAATATGCTAAAATTTGATCAAGAAGGTATAAAGGTACGATAGTAGAATAAATTTTAACTGTTTATGAGAAAAATTATATATACATTTGCATTCAATTGCTCCGATTTTACGACTAGTTGGTAACCCTTGTTGAGTATTTCAGAATTTCCCGTATAAAAAGTAGATATTCGTGAAAAAGTAGTTAAAAAATAATGTATTGATCATCTTTTTATTCTTACATTGGATGCATTAAACTTTTTATATTTTATAAATTTGAAAAATTCTAGCAATTACTTGAAAAATAAACATCTGTGATTAAGTTTTGTTTGCTTAAAATTTACCGCCACCGCACAGAGGAGATAAGTTTACTCAGTTTTATAAAATATGAAAATCTTTAATGTAGTATAAAATAATTTTCTGTCTTTGAACGAAATCTTATTTGAAGCAAGTTACAGGTTGTAATATTTTCTTAATGAGGAAATGAGGACTGACAAAAATGTACTTGATAGAAAATTGTTGTATATTTGGTCTTTTGTTGGTTTAACCTCAAAATTATATAAAATAATAGAGAGTAACATATGGAGAGTAACGAGATGGATAAAAATATTATTATATTGTCATATATAGTTTTTATTGCACCTTTATCCATTGCATTATTTTTGTACGGATTCTTTCCTTTGATGCATTGTGATAACACTATAGCAACACAAGATGATATACCAAAATTTATTGAAAATACAAGGTAAGTTTGATAAGTGTGTATGCCAAAAAAAAAAAAAAAAAAAATATGGAATGATGAAAGAATTGTATTTTATCCAATTTGTATCACATAACTCTTTTAGAGTAAAGATAGATACATTGTATGAACCAATAGCTAAAAGATTGATCGTTCTGATTATTGATGCTTTGAGATGGGATTTTATAGAAGGATCAGTTGGAAAGATCGCAATGCCTATAACAAGTAGTCTTATAGTAAATTCTTCTGCTTATTTGTTACAAACCAAAGTACAACCACCAACTGTTACAATGCCTAGAATAAAGGTGCCAGATATCAAGTAAAATTTTTTGTGAATCTCTATTTTTGAAAATTCGATATACATATAAAAGATATTTCATATACTTTAGGCAATTACCACTGGTATGATACCAAGTTTTATTGATGTAGCTTTAAATTTTGGAAGTAAACCAGTAACTGGTGATAGTTTGCTCTATCAAGCAAAAAAAGCTGGTTATAAATCAGTATTTTATGGAGATGACACTTGGATCACCTTGTTTCCCTCCATATTTGACCGTTATGATGGCACCACATCATTTTTTGTAACAGATTTTACAGAGGTATTTTCTATTTCTGTCTTCATTATATCTTTATAGAATGCCATAGTTACAATGAATTTTTATAATTCAGGTTGATGATAATGTGACTAGACATATACAAGAAGAATTGTATAATAATAATGATTGGTCTATAATGATCCTTCATTATTTAGGACTTGATCATATTGGTCATGTTCATGGACCATTTAGTCCATTAATCAAAACCAAACTTAAAGAAATGGATAATGTGATAGCAAAAATTCAAATTAAAGTTCAGGAATGGGTAGGTGTAGTATAGTATTTAAAATATTAACGCTCAATGAGTATATATTATAAAATATCGTTGTTCCAAAAATACAAAAATTACAATTCATTTTATACATTCATAAAATTAGTATAAACTTATTATTTTTAGAATCAGAATAATGATTCTACTGTATTTATTATCTGTGGGGATCATGGGATGAAAGATTCTGGTGGTCATGGTGGTTCAACAGTATCAGAAACAACTGTACCCTTTGTTATAATTGGTACAAAAAACCATCAAAATTACATTAAAGACCCTATAGAAATATCACAAATAGATATTGCATCTACATTGTCTGTTATTTTGGGAGTGCCAATACCATACTCTAATATAGGAACTATTTTCTTGGATGCTTTATATGATTTACCTATTTCAAAAAAGTTATTCATACTTTATTACAATTCAAAACAAGTATTTAATCACTTTCAAAAGTTAGTTGGTTATGAATCTGAATGTGAGTCAATTAATTATATTTAATCCCATATAACTTTTCAAATAATATTGTGTCTACTTATTATTACAGATGCATATCATAAATATTTGGAAGCAATAAAGCTTCACAATGCATGGTTAAATACCAAAGATCATCCAGATGATATGACAGATGATATTGTACTTTCTTATAAGACTGCATTGAAAGGAATGAAAGAAATTCTCATAAGTAGCATAGTAAAATATGATTTTCAAATAATAACAGTAGCCATAATTTTCCTATGTCAAGTGAGAATCAAAAAGATAGTTTAATTCTTAGTTATGCTAATGCTTTCATATAACACAAGTTAAAAATTATTTCAGATTATTTGTATTTTAGCAGGAGAAATATCTTTTAAATCAGCATCATTGAAAGGTGTCGTATTTTTCATTTTCTTAAATGTGCTTTTATGGCTAATAGTCAATTGTTTTTGCAAGGAGGAAAACACAGCATTACTTCATACAAGTAATTTAATAATAACATCGTGTATAATAATTGTTTTGATAATAAATTCCTACTTGCTTGCTAATATTAGAAGTTTCAGCATTTTTAGGGTCAAGGTAAAAGAAATTATATAAAACCAAATAATTAAAAATTTTGCTTGCTATTAAGATAGTATCTTTTTTAAAAATTAGATAATTGAAAATGGGATAGAAGAGTGGTTTCTTTCATTTGGAACATTAATACACGCAATTAGCTTTATTGGTACCAGTTTTGTTGAAGAAGAACATCAGACTTGGTATTTCTATTGGGTTACAGTCCTCATATTGCTACTTCACAATTTTCTCAGAAGATGTTTTGCAAGAGAATTCTCACAATCGTAAGATAATTTTTTTTCCACCATAGAGAATTGAATTATTGAGTATATTAAGCATTATGTTTCAGCCACTATCAACGAAATTTATATGCACAAATTAGTATTAAGCTTTTCTTACTATTAATAGGACACAGAATTCTTAGAAAATTAAATAGTACTGGAGATAAGTATGCTCATCTTCCTGATATAGCAGGATTTTTAATAAAACAAGAAAGCAGATTGGGTATGACGATCGTACTCATTGCTGGTAATTCAATTACCGATTACCATTCAAATTATCGAAATTAGAAAATATTCTGAAGTCTTCGAAATCATTTTCTCAGGTCTTGCACTTCTGATATGGATCGATTTTATTCACGAAAATAAAACGCACAAAAAGCTATCGTTAGCGTTGAATTTCATAATTAGTGTATGCATTTATCTTCGTCATATGCATAATAATAGGGTTGCCAAAATACCATTTTACCCTCCAACTAGGTAAGCTTGTTGATTGCATTGAAAATTCACAGTTTGAAATACGATTGTTTGTTACAGAGGAATATTTGAAGTACAAATTTTCTGGTTTTTACTTGTAATAAACTTGACGAAGTACATTTATGACCTTATCTGTATAAGAAAATGCTGTAGTAGATTTTTTCCAAGAGTTTCGTTGTATTTTATTCTACAAATGTGGATTATGGTCGTAGCGATGCTTCATCAACCACATAGCGTAATACTCTTACCATTCCAAATAATCTTTAGCAGCGTGATTTACGAGATAATTAAAAACGATATTACGCAAAATAGTTGGGTGTTATTGTATACCTGGATTGGGAATGTATTTTACTTCTATCAGGTAATAATCTAACATCAAACAATTTTTCTACAAAATTTAAACGAAACAATTTTCTACAGGGAAATTCTAATAGTTTAGCAACTGTCGATGTAGCTGCGGGTTACGTTGGTGTACAATCATATATGCCATTTATTAATGGCTCGTTATTAATAATTAATACCTACGCAGCACCTCTTTTGTCCTACTTTTTGCTTATTTACCATGCGATCTTACAGCATCCATATAAGTAAGTAGTTTTGATTTAATACTTCAAATAATGAAGTACTAACATGTGGTAAACCTTTTTTAGTACTTGTGAAACAATTGTACGAATTAGTAAAATATATACTACATGGAGGTTGTTGCCAGTAGCTATTTATACAATTATAATTAGTATTCAGCGTTATCATTTATTCGTCTGGTCAGTATTCTCGCCGAAATTATTATACGAAGCTGTACATTCTACTGTTATTTGTTCCGCCGTATTTATCGTGCTGATCTTGGCTACAATACAAAAGGCAATAAATAATTGTAAAAGATGATCTTACTTGGATTTTATATTTCTTTATTCATTAAATAGGAAATTGTTATTAAGTGGGAAAGGGATATATTAAATTTAAAGAAAAAATTTATTTTAATTTTAATCAATTATTTTACAGTCATTGTACTTGTATTTAATAAAGTTTCTCGGTTGATTTTATAAAAATCAAGGATATAAAAGTCTCTAATAATATACATAAATTAGTAACTTTGTAGAAATTTTTTTTTACAATTGAAATTATCTATCGACCTAATGAAGCTCGAATTTTAAATGAATTATACATATTTTAATTTCACTATTGAACAGCAATATGTAATGTATCGGTAGAATATAAAATAATATACGGTACGGTATTTTTTAGAATAAGTTAGGATATATCGAAATATTACGTTATTTTTCTCTAAAATGATCACCGACCTTACATATTAACTTGTCATCTTTTTCTACCATCTAATTCCAAAGTATAATAATCACGTTTTTAAAACATTCACACGCAAGATAATTCTTACAAATAATATAATTGGTCATGCAAAACAGACACCCTAAGAAATTCAGCTAAAAGCAGTATTCTTCTATCGCTAGAACATAAATTATTTTCTATAGGAACACAACGATAGATCTATACATATTTGCTACAAATAATACTAAAATTGTTAAATCTAGATAACAACGGTATTTCATTTTATCATTTCGTCTAGCATGTTTTTTTTCATGCTTGTTGTTATTGAAACAAAAAGATCAAACGATTGAATAAATTACTTTGATTTCGTTTGTTCGAATTTTCTAGCGATTGATAATTTCTACTCATAAACGTGGATCTTATCTTTAGAAAAGGGTGCGTTCCAAGAAGTTAAATAGCAACAAGTCAAACTGAAACGAGGACAAGATCATGTATTGGAATATTTATAATTCCGACAATCATATCGCATAAACTTGAAACAGCAGATGTTACCTTGCAACGCGTTGATTTCTAAAATATAAAATATCGTTATTGTTTCGTGTTATACAAAAATATAAATACTTTGATATCAAGTTATCGAATATCACGAAAACAACTGTACACATTTCAAAACTACGCGGTTTGAAATACTAATGTTACTGGATTAATTACGTACGGCAAAATAGCCAGCGATATTGTTTAATTTCAAATAGAGGATTTTAAACACTTCGTTCGGATAATTGTACAATTATGCGAATAAATTTATACTTTAAATCGTAACATTATACTTCTGAATTGCATTTCTCAATATCGCATTGTTTGGTGCGCCTTAGAATCAATAACCAAGATAAAAAATCTCGATTTTCAGGAAATACAGTGTAATAGAATAAGGATATTATGCGAAATTTGAGTATTTTAGTTCTTTTTGACTGCAATTCGTATTTATTCGTGTTTCATCGTAATTTGGCTATTTGTTGTCCTTTCATCTCTTGTTTAAAATAAAAATACTCTAAAACGGTGAATTCATTCCAAGTTTTGTACCAAATTCAAGCCGTGCTCTCTTTTGATATCTCACGTTCACCCTGTTAAAATGTTAGAAAGTTATTAAACACTTCTCCCGATATTTCGAAGTTTCTGTACTTACTTAATCTCTTGCCATTTGATCAGTTCGTTTATTGCAAAAATCAGCGGCAATGAAATTAAGAAGAACAGAGGGAGATGTAGGGGAAAATCCTCGATACTTTGCCCCTCGTCTTTCCAAAATTTACAGAACACAGTTCCTGAAAATGCTGCTTGTGCGCATAATCTAAAAGAATGCAATATCGAATGGCATGTTTGTGGGTGATTAAATGCAAGAATTAAATCCGTCGCACGCCTTAGTAGTTATGAATTTTATATACTCACGCTATAAATGCACCGAAGAACCATACGTAATTATTAAATGGCTGTTTCTTCCAAATGGAATACTCTCTATGTACAAAGCCTACGGATATCGTTACTGTAGAAAGAAGAAATGTTTAATAGAATTTGAATAGAATTCGATACAGTACGTAGTTTTCGAAAGTATTGTTTTGAAACTGACAAACCTTACCTAAATGTAAAACTAACAGAGACAAGGCAAAATGTTGTATTACTAAAATAATATTTGGTTTATCTCCCCAACCGCCCCATGAAACATTTCCCTGTGCATTCGGGTACACATACAGGCACTTGGAGTCTGTTGTGTAAGTAGGGCACAAAGTCAGAAACGAAATACACTGCGACAGTACTATCGTTATGACCGTTGGCAAGAATTTGCTGCCGTAACACCATAAAACGAACAATGCAATCTGAAAAATCAGGGACAGAGGAGTGTTCATTTGAAATTCGGTAGAAAAAAAAAAAAAATAGAATTACACAGACATTACTTTCTTACCTGACCGTTTACAGTGCACTGATTTTTGCCAGTTGCACGTTGCATTATAGTAGGATCCATAGGCGTTGCGATCATGGATATAGACAACATTGGAATGATTAAGCAACACAACCATAAGACTTGATCGACTGAAAATAGTGGCGGTAGCAGCAAGAAACCAGACAGAGCTTGAGTGAAGGAAAGAGTAATTGTACAACAGAGCCAGAATTGTACGCAATTCCAAAGGCATGTCATGTAATGCCGAGCCTAAATATGCACGAAATGATATTAAATGATTACAATAATAATATTTGGAAATGAAAATGTAATTGAGATTGTCTTGGATTAAAGATATTTAATAGCAATATTTAATAGCATTGCTGTTGAGATTCTTCAATTTTTGTCTCTTAATGAAATGATTCTAAAGAATCGTGATAGAGGCAATGACTAATGATCACTTACCTCCATAATTAAATGGAAAATCGCAATTGGATCTTCTCGTTTAACGCTTAACGAACAGGCAACAGAATTCAGTGCTCTGCTCAAATCGACTGGGGATGGACCTTGGTCTTCTCTAGTTGGTATCAATACCGGAACTCTTTGACAAACTTGTGGATATAACGGTTCCATAGCCACTCTAAAACCATAAACATACACATGTACATATATATATATATATATATGAGATTATAACGATCATTATTTTATGCCAACATTGTATTAAACAATTGAACGTACGACAGATATGTTTGCTACTTTCTTTATGCCGATTGGAATTTTATACCGTCCGATTTTAAATAAAAGTTAAATTTTCACTAAAATGGCGTTTATTGCCGACGTTCCTCGACGCGCGTCGAAAATTTCAAAGAATCCGAATAATTCTATGTGTGAAGATGAGAATTTTGTATATTTGCAACCGCCTAAAGCGCGTCCTGCGGTGTACGCTAGGCCTTACAGGAAACCAACCCTAAAGATCGAGTCGGAGACCACGTATGGCTCGTCATACGTGAAATTCGATCGTGCTTCTAAACCAAAATTTCATTATGGGATACACGAGAGGACAGTGCCTGATAAAACTGGAAAGTTCGATTTCGATACGGTATATAAACTTTCGTATCAAGCGTCAACCGGGCAATTACGCAGAGCTTTCGTGCCGAAATCGTGCTTAACTATCAATGGCTTGCACGATATGACGACTACTTTCAAGCTATCTTACTTGGATCCTGGATACGTAAAGACGATGTCTTGTAAACCGCACCAAGGAAAGATTCGACATCCAATACCGGTGGATTACAACACGGTGACGAAAGAATCTTATCGAGATTTTGGTACGCCTACAGTTAAAAGACCACGAAAGCGAGGATTTTGGCAAACTAAATCCAAGACGGACTATCAAACCACGAATCGATTGTCGTATCAATACGTAGAACCTCTTTCGAAGAGGGTTCGCATATGCCATCGGCCAGTTATAAATGCTGAAATGGAGAAAGACACAGTTTACAGTACAAGTTATCAAGTTCCTGGTCGTTGCGTACCTAAAGAGATTATTGTTTGTGAATGACATTGTGTACGTATAATATATTTAATAATTTTTTTGGAAAATTCACTCGTTAATTACTAGCGTGACAACGTATTTACCCTGCATCCGCTTGCATAAAGATTGGCATGTTCTCTGCGTTGGCTGAGGAGCCAAGCACGCAGACAACCTCTCCGTAATCTTGCATAATGTGCAACATTTCCCTTGTAACAGTGGTGTTGCAGTCGGTGAACAGAGACACCAAAAGAGGTACATTGTCTATCAGTTCTATGTGCGGTCGAATTTTGTCAATGCCTCGGGGTAGTTTTGCCTGAAGAATGCGTAGAACGTAGAAATTCGCACGAACAGTACATCTTTTTTGTCGCCGAAACTTACTCTGTTTGATAAATCAAAATTTACAGGAGCACTTTGCTCCGTGCTATCCGTAAGGCAACTTAAAGACCGCCATGCTTCCTGCCCGGAGCCTAAATCTACACTTTGTACAAGCACGCTGTCTTCGCTTCTCACTGTGTCCTGCTCCCTAACGAGAACAAGTTATTTATTAGACGTTTGTTCTTACCATAAACCTCAATCATTAATAAACGAATTCATCGTCAACAAGTGCGCAAAATTCAGGCACGGATGTTAACGGTAGCGAAACTACGAAGTGGTAAATAAATAATCAAAAAGGACTAGCCTACTCAGAAGTGGGAGGGAAAACGAAAAATAATTACAAAACGTGCGACGAGCCCGTTCTCGTAGTGATCCTTCGTACTAGATGACTTAGACTGCCATGCAAATTGAGAATAATATTGTAATGTTGGAAGTAATCGTTAGAACAATCTGGAGAGAGCACTTCAAGTGGCGTAGAGACGAACCTGTGGCTCATGGCACTTTTCACTTGAGACGTCCCGGTATCGTTCCACTCCGTGGTCTCGTCGTCAAATTTCACCGTAGAGAAATCGGTGTTTATGGCGCTTGGCGCGGACATGCTCATGGCACGGCTATTATCCAAATTTGTGCTACAATATAAGATAAATCATACTATGGAAAATCGGTTTTCCCGCGCGTCGTTCATGCAGGGTAGAGAATCCTTAAAAACACGAACACATCGATGCAGCATATTTATGCAGCAGAAATGTTTGAATGCATGCTCTTTAATGTTCGAGTATCTGGCGACTTCTTAATCGAATATATCGTGTTCGTGAAGCGAAGGCACACTTCTGAATCGAGGATGTATTACTTTTCTTTTCTTTTTTTTAGTGTGTTATATGTGTGATAAAAGGGTAAATATGTAACATACCGAGGAGAGACACGATTAAGCAAGTGGCTGGCCTCATCCATGCAGGAGTAATTATGCTGATGAGATTGGGCCGAGGGAGTGGGTGAGGACATGGCTGCTGCCTGGCTCACCCACCAACCCACTGGACTCTCGGACCTAATATTGGCGTGTTAGTTACATACATTTATTCGTGTATATTATGTATGTCATGTAAATAACGAGATATTAACACATGTGCATTAGAATAATCGTAGAAAGTGTACAAAAGTATCGATGTAGTTAAAAAGTTGTATTCGCTAATGAAGAAGCAATTCAAAATATCGACTACCGGCGCACAAATACAATCGCTTCAACTTAAATGCTCTAGTCGTTAAAGTAAATAGAATATGTGGAAAGAATATGTCGGAAAGAAATAGTACTTAAAACTGGGCTAAAATACTTGACAAGACTTGAAATCAAAGGGGGGGAAAAGAGAAAACCAGATAATCGCATTCGAAGAACATTTAACTCTATGAAGAAACCGATAATAAAGTAAGAAATAGATATTATCATTAAGGAGAGCGTAACGAATAAACATGCAAATTAGTAACAGTAATGAAAGAAAGAGGTATAGACAAACATATACGATGGGGGCATGTGTGGATATCTCTCCAGCCATTGCTGTCTCCTGTAACGTACATGCATATTTTACATTCACATCCACAGTTATGACGAGTAGCTAGTTAAACAAATTGATTATATCAATTGCCACCATTTATTTTAGACTTAACAACAAGATTAGAGAAGAGAAAAAAAGACACTAAGAGACGACATACATGTATATATGTATATAATATATATTCAGATTAATCGACGAATAAGAAAGAAATGTAACACCAACGACATACACGATTAGTGTAATACTTTGTGTTCAATATGTTTCTATACACAGACTTTACACGTACGAAATAAAGAACATATTTGTACTTTCCAACATGAGGACATGCCCCAAACTTGTCAGATTAATCCAAAAGCAAAAATAAGCAAAGTAAGATAGTTTATAGAGACAATGATAGTTGGCAGAAAAATGAGGTACGGTACCTAGCTCTTTCACTGAGCAACGATATGTGACAGTTCCATCCGCTTTCGAGCCCCATTTTCTCCGAGAACACGCGCGATCTTAGTTCGTTCTCTTTACTGAAGTGAACAAATCGGATGCAGGCTCTGTCTAATTGCTCGATCAATTGTACCTGTTCAAAACACTTTGCGTAAATTTCTTTCATCACACGACTTTACACATATACACGCATAATCATCTGATGTCCTACCATATCCGTTTGCGCTTGGTATTGCATAGTCACCATCCCAATGAAGACTTGATTGCATTGAATTTCGAAGCAACTGTCCACATCGCTTACATTATCGTCTTTGTTCTCATTACACAGCAAGGAATCTGTAGAAGTTTGTTTAAAAGTAAATCGATTTGAAATTATGGATAGTTCTTGAAATAATAAGTGTAACATCTTTGTATTACCGGTTGAATGAAATTGTCCAAGTATGCCTTTCACTCTAGGATCAAGAACGTTCCTAAAATCCCAAGGTAATGGGGTAGGACTTCTATGAGGTGCGTACAAATGTTTGCTGTCCGCGGGAAGCTCCAGATATATTTTAGACATTTTATCGCAAATACCACGCGTCAATGGCCTATATGCAAATGCAGTGCAATAGGACGTTAGACTGGTTCTTTGATAAAAATCTTGCACCTTTTTTCTGGAATGTATGTTCTGTATAAGTACAAACGAACACTAGATTTCGCTGAAGGATTTACATCTTCATGTACCTATCTGATGCTGAAAGTGGACAGAGATCATGGCCGTCCCAAAATTCGATACAGGAATCTAAAATTATGTCTGCTGTACCCTGTGTTAGCAATTGTAAACCGCCGCCGGTTCGTTCTCTAACTACCACGGCGACCATGTGTGGAAATGGAAATTTTAATTTTGTTGCGATGCTTAAAGATCGTGCGAACTTTATATCTCGTCGAACCATTTCCGGTTGCTGCGATAGAGAGTGACACAGAGAGAGAGAGAGAGAGAAAGAGAGAGAGAGGGCTGTAATTTTTTTATTTAGAGACCAGCAAATGGAAGATTGTGAACAATGCTTACGACATGTCTAAACGTAGACAACTGTTGCTCCAATTGAAATATATTTTGCGCCTGGTCTTGGAAACCTATCTGCTTCGCTAATTCGCATAGACACCTGTACGAATCGTATACGCAAACTTGAATAAACGGAAATTTACATGAACGAATGAGAAAAGAATAGAACAGATATATGAGATTGTCCCGTGATTAGCATTCCCATGAATATATATGCTTGCAGATACATTCACCCATATAAACGGATTAACAATAAATATGGAGGATACGTAAAATAACTATGGTTGGACTGACCACATATGTCCAAGGCTCCCTGATTCGTCGACTAAATACACCTGTCTTGAACTTTGCATTGTATCTTTTGCCTGATACCCACTCTTATCTTCTACATTGTGATCCTGGTAGCTGACAAATGTGTATGATCAACGTTACTGGTAATTGGACGTGTTATCAATTGGACTGTTCACAGGATTATGCGTATGATAAAACTGGATGTAATTAGCTTGACACTTGGGAGAATTAGTTCGAGTAATGCACACAAAATAGAAAAATACGAAACAAATGCAATACAACAAAACACATAAAGGAAAACGTGATTCTAGCGACGTGGGTACATACCGTCTGTTCGTAACCGGTACAAGATTCTCATTATATAGAGCTTCACATGTGACATGGCAACAAAACTGCATATAATGCTCTTGCGTGTCCATATTACACGTGTTGAGGAGGATGGCTAAACCTAGAGGTTTTAACGAGTTCAAATGTTGCCTCCAGGAATGATCGTCAAACTGTAGACGAAATGGCAAAGCATGATCGTGAGTCAAATCCAAAACTTCGGCTGTTGAATGAGACATGTCTAGAAATTAATTTGTTTTTTAGCCAAAACAAACTTTCTGACGAATCTTTTACGTCTACTGTTTTCTTTATTTTCGTGTTACCATGCGTTATATATGAAGTTTTATTTGAATCTTGTTTGGAGTCTTCAGTTTGTGTCTGACACTGAGGTTCCGGCGTTCTATCTAGACTACCGATACTGTAAAATGATTTTGTAACTGCAGCTGTTGAATGAATTTAAGCTGTTCGTGATAAGTATATTTACCTTGACGACGGGGACAGAGTATTAGCATTTCGTAAAAAAAATACTTTTTCTGCGGTCGGATTAGGCCACGAAAGAATCCCTTTTTTATCTACGCAGCACAGTGCCTGGAAATTGGCATGCTTTTACTCGTTCTTTCGTATTACTGAACAAATCAAAGCTGTATGTTTAAAATACCGTGACTGATCCTAAAACATGTAGAATACTGGCAGATCTTGACATCATGTGCTCTTTACCAAATAGAATACTGAAAAAGTACTCTTTTAATTCCAACCAATTGTACACTACTTCTGGATGACTAGGTCCAGAAATATCTGCATCTTCGAAAGGATCCACAAACTGAAACGAATGCATTTTAGGCAATATCGTACGAATAATTCTGTCGGCATTCGACATGGAAGTTCCTTTATGTTAAAGATATATTAACCTGAAGTTTTTTCGAAGATTGATAAAGCTTAAACAGAGCTTTGAAACGAGCCATTCCGAAACAATTTAAAAAAATCCAACAAGTCGGAAATACTAACGGAAGCAAAGGTATACTAATAGCAATTGGTTGAAGTAAAAACATCTCATTCCAATAACCAACACCGAAATATTCTGTCACGTATAAGTATCGAAACAAATTGACAAGTAACACAATGATTAAAAGAATTGGATAAGCTAGTTGTTCGATGCAACAAATCATTAAGAGATGCCGTTTACGATTGTGATATGTAACCGGCCTATTGAGAGCTTGGTCAAAAGCCATTCTAAGGTTCATCAAATAAGGGGTTTCTTGAAGTTTATAGATCTTATTTTTTAACGGTAATCGAGCTTGCGGCGTTGAAAAAATTTCATTTGCGCTGTGGACCTGCGGACTGTATACTTCTCTTGTATGTAGCACTGGTGCCTCAGCATCCTGAAATGATTTCTCATTATTATCATCTATTTTATATGGTGAGGTATATTAAATTGTACAATTGGAATATTCAATTCACATCGTAAGGGACACAATATCCAGGTGCTTGTTGTCCAGGTTTTATAACAATTATATCACCAGCAACTAGTAATGCCCAGGGTAAATTAACTATGTGACCATCGCGATAAGTCCACTGCAGAGTCAGACAAGGAGACAATGGACTGCACAAATGTGGATAATTTTCCGGATTCCACTGAGAAGTATTCTTTGCCACTGAAATAATATCACATGAAAGAAGTTAATAAGAAATATAGCAAAGTATAGAATATTTAAATGTAAAAGTACCTTCTAATTGGTCGAGAAGAACTCGGACTCTATAAGGAATTTCTTCGTGTCGTAATTTATTATCGGATACAACTAAAATAAAATTTAACACTACTAGACAGCAGACAGTCAGTCCTTCATAAGGCAGTGTAGGATACCTATAATAGTACAAAATTTTGTATGTTACATGTATTCTTTCATATTTGAAATGAAGATCTATAACAGTATTTAGCATTTAATAGAAAATACAATTAAAAACTAGTTTTGACTAGCATTATCCACATTATATCTACCATCATAATTATCTACACAATATAACTGCGTTTGATATATGAAAAAAAAAAAAAAAATTGAGTTAATCATACCATGTATCGTTGATTGTGAAGAATGTAATAATAAGGATAATGGCATTGATCAAAAGTGCAATTGCTGAAGTCCAACAAAGAGTTGTGTACTGACTACGATGATGTAAGGTGTCCTTTAGCCAAGCTTTATATTTTCTGCAGATATTATATACAGCACATAGAGTATAAATTATGGAATTTGTTCTTTAACATGAATAGTTAATAATGAATAGTTAAAATTACTTATTTCTTTTGTATTCTTCTTCATATTCCTGTAACACTCTTCTAACGTCACGTTGTAATGTTTCAAGAGCAATTTTTGTATTTAATCCTAATGGTTCTTCATTTTTATTCGTAATATTTTCATTTGGTTTGGAACTGCCTTTTGCTCGACCACCATCCATTTTCTGTGTAATGAAATTATTAAATTGTTTTCTGCTTTAGATATATGGGATGCATATACTGATTCCATAAATTATAACATATAGGAAATAGAAATACACAAACAAAAATCAAATCATAGCATTTCTATGTGTATAAAGATAATAAAGGATAGAAAAAGAATAATTATTGATACATACTACTTTATTGCAAGTAACTACTTCATTTACAAGAAATGAGAGGAAATAACTATTTAATTAACTAATGATAAATATATCATTTTGAGATGTATGTATATTTTAAAAAGTAGATATAACATGCAGAGTAAACAAAAGGCAAAAATATAGACGAACAAGATTTCTAGCAATCTATGATCCATTTTAACATTATTTCAATCTTAATGCGATTTTCAAACCATGCATTTAAGTGATATCATTATGTTTTAATGTCACACTTTAGCAATAATAATCTATGTTTTGATCCACACCATGAAAAAATAAATAACCACAGACATATATTAAGCAACATTCTGAGTTTTTATTATAGTACAAATAGGTAAAGGAAATTGAAATAAATAAGGAAGAAACAATGCAAATATAATTTATTAATACAGCCAGTTTTGAGGAACAAAAGCGAATCAAAACAAATAGAGCGAGGTTAAAATGCATTAACACTTGCATAAATCAAGTAACGGATGGCAGTGTCGATATTTTATAACTTGTTGCTTTAAGATTCAGCCGCAGGTCAGTTAATTAAAAATAATAGCAAAAATTTCATAATTTTGTATGACCTATATCAGAACGAAGAATGCATATTCGAATGGGTTAGAGCACAAACACATAGTCGAGTAGTCTAGCACGTGACGCAGTGCTGACGAAAGTGATGTGTATGTAGTTTTGTTGTTTCTTTTTCAACATAATTTTCTTCATAATTTAGTAAAAATTGATATTAGTATAGTTCAAATTCTCGTGCATTGTAATACATAAATATAGTAAACAAGTGGAGTGTATTTTTATAGTATTTATTAAATTGTAACGTAACATAACCTCGTAGCAATGGATTTACTGTATACTGTAAATAGAAAAGTGACACCAAAACCATTTCTAAATCAAGAAAGGTATGTGATTATTATTTTCTCTTTTTTTTCAAATTTTTATAGATATTCTGATATTAAATTGAAAATAACTTTTCATTGATGTAATATGCTTATTTGTATTAATGTATTGTAACAAATGAACTATTAAAAGATGACATATATTTCATTTATTGTAATATATACATCTATTGATAATTTGATATAATTGATAGATACATTCTTATAAATTTTAAACATATAATAAAATTAAGATTGACCCCAAGAATATACTTTTTAAAACATAATCCTTTAATGTTTATGCAGTAATCAAATTTTTAGCCTGTATGAGGGACAATCTCTATGCTCATTATCTAGTCGTAACATAGCTGCTTTTACTACAACCACAGAATTAGATGATAACAGTGGAAAGACATGGGGATCTCATGTTTATGTTTGCGACTTGAACATGCCTTGGCATACTCACAAGTATGAAATATTTTTAAATAGTTTAAATATTATCTACTTGAAAATTTCACAAAATTAGCTAATATTATTCTGTCACATTAGGATATTATCAAATAAAAATACAATTACTGCATTAGAATGGGATTTACCAGGTGATAAGTTAGTTGTGTGTGATTCTGTTGGAAATGTCCAATTATGGATGTTTAAAGATCATGTTCTTAATGATTGGGTACCAATTGGTTCTACCTGTTTTGTCGGTGAACATATATTAGGTGCAGCTTGGTTTCACAATGGAAAAAAAGTAATTATAATACTAAGAAATTATTTTATTGGTTTCAACAAACTGGTTTTATAAAAAAAAAAAATAATTTCAGACAGGTCTTGTAACAGAAAAAAAAGATAATATTCATTATAGTGAAAAATTTAATCACTTACCATTTGTTCCCTCTGTAAGACAATTTGGTGGTAGAGCAGCAGAGGGTGTATTGGTGGTTTCAACTACAGGCATGGTTGGTGCTGTTATGATTACAAAAGATTTTCAGAATCCAATTTGTTCCTCCACAGAAAGTTTAGGTAGCACAAGGCATAGGATAACAACAGTTGATTTATGTTATGGAAAAAGTACTTATTTAACTATGTTTTGATTGACATTAAAATATGCACTTTACTAATAATTAGTAGATTAATATAAAATGTTTTAAACTTTTAGATGGTCATATTCTGGTAGCCATAAGTAGTGGAAATATTTGTTTACCAATTAGATGTTATAGAGTATTAGTACGTAAAAATGATGATAAATGTACTATCACATCACAAGCACTGCCTAGTTTTTTTCTACAAGATGGTGCGCCAAAAGACAATACATGTAGTGTATTTCACAAAGTGAAAAAGTTTTCATTATTGATACATATAATTGATTATATGTTGTCAGATTATAAAATAATAAAACTATTTTTGTAGATACGAGTGTGACGCATTTAAAGTTTGTAGTTAGGGAAGATGCAGATTCTTTGGTTATTGCTGTTAATAGCGATAATGGTGGTGTAGTAGAAGTATGGGAATTAAGAGAAAAAACGCAACCAGTTCATAAGCTATTTCAACCCAAAACGTTAGAACCATTTAAGACTGTAGTGGTATGTGTTCAAATTGAAAGGATTATACATATATATAAAATTTGTGTGTTGGTTCAACTATTTAATTGTATACTTTTAATACAAATTTAAAGGTATGGCAACATCAATCGCAATATCGTTGTCAATCACCAATAGTAGCACTAGCGACTACAAAATTGTCTATAGTCACCACATTACCTCCTCCAAGTTACGTTGTAGTAGCTTTAGCGGATTCTTCTATACATTGTTTAAGCCGAGATTGTTTGAAAGAAATAGCGTTTTCTTCATTGACTATGGCATGGCGATCTGAGGAGTCAACTAATAAATATTTTAAAAATTCGGTTTCGATAGCAAGTATAGACCTATCTTGGCTCGGCTGTGTACTTTTAACTTGTGATACACGCGGGAATTTATATTTATACAAATTATTACCTGATGGAGGTAATTTTTTTTTTTATTAAACTTATATAAAAAAGAAATTGTCCCTGAAATATTGTATTACCGATTCTTTTTACAGGCCCATCGTTAACATTAAGTTATGCTTGTACATTATTGGAGTATTGTTTAGTAACAGGATTAGATTGGTTGGATATATTGCTGTGTTTGAGATCTTCGATGATCGAGCCATTGTGTGAAAGATTGGATGTTTCTTTTAACAGACAATTACAGCCAATACAACAGTATCATTATATTCAATTTCTTTGCATCAAAACATCGTTGTACAGGTTTCATGTTATTTTTTATGCACAAAAGTTTCTCTTAGAGATAGTCATTTATTTTCGTTATCTGTAGTTGTATGTTGTGTGATTCTAGATCATAGTTGATCATAGTCATTTATTTTCAGGATGCTAGTACCAGGACAGAGTAAAGCGGCGGATTTGTCGTCTTTACTTATGATACATTCAGTAGCAACAGCATTTAAATCGTTGTTACGTCCGTCGGATTTGATTTCTCATGACAAAGGACCAGCGGAAAGTTTAGCAACAGTAATTAATGATTCAATTACTGATGTAGATAAGGTAGAAATTAAATGCATCATTTCCCACATTATTTCCAGAGTGAGAACGTAAACATATCAATTTGTAATTATAATACATAATTAACGTGCAATTGCCAGGTACTTTTACATCTCGATCCCAAAGAATTTACCGTAGAACCAAGTACGCTTCAGTCGTTGCAACAGTTAATTCAATGGGTCGCGGATCTAGCTTTAAATCTTTTGGCTCGTCTTCCAGAGCAACGATTGCAAATAAAATCAGGCGGCGTTAGTAAATAAATTTCAAGCAGTATAATCACTCCTTTGTTCAAAATTGTGTAATTATACTCATTTTTCTTTCTTTTTTTTTTTTAAATCTAATATTGGCGCAGTATGAGCTTTTGAAGGATCATAAGGCCTTAAATACATTAAGAGAATTGCTCGTAATTATACGTATATGGGGTTTATTGCGCCCTTCATGTCTACCAGTATTTCTTCGTAGTGCCGATAATCTCGATGTACTCGCCCTGTTATTCCGTTTATTATCAAAATTGGTTCAACCGAACGGAGATGGTCAAACTCAGCAGGTAGACGATGGTTTAATTGGTAAGTTATCATCATTATTACATAGTATTATAAGTAGTATAAAGTAGCTATATTTATATATATAAACAACGTGTAATAAAATGGATAATTCGTATATAACATCTATAAGTAGCCGTTGAGACTTTATCGTTATACGTTGATTAGTAGGAAGTAAGATAAAATACCACTTCCTCATACATTCGAAGGGAATTACAGATTTTTTTCTTCAGTGTATGAAATGCCGGTGTGCAAGAAATATAGTGTGATAGTGTTGTTGTAATTTTGAGATCTTGTTTTTTTGTCAATTTTAAAATGAGTGAAAAACTTGCAGCAGATCATACAAATTCGATAGCCTTGAAAAAGCACAAGTTATTATTAAACAAAAATGATCCAAGAAATTGTTATTCATATTCGAAAGCATATAGATTAGCCATACTTTTTATAGTCATATGCTGTATATTTTTGATTTATTGGATTATATTGGCTCCTCTTTTAATCAGTGCGTTCACTGCTCATCATTCAGGCAAAACTGAAAGTTGGTCTGTTGGTTGGCTCGTTTTGTACTGGTTTATTGCCTTTTTTATTTGGCTTTTCATTATGTTGTGTTTTCTTTTAATTTGGAAATGTTACGAAATTAAACGCAATAATGATGTACAATTGCAATCGTATGGCACAAATGATTCTCTAAAATCGAGAATTTTAATTAATACGAAACTTGATCATTCGCAAGTTATAAAACTGAAAGATACAAAATATGGTACAGCTTTAAACGATTCAGTTTCTGATAAAGAGAAATCAAGTGCAAATTTGAATGAATCTCAGCATAATAAAACCAGAAAGCATAAAGATCTTCCTCCTCTTGTGATTCATCGTCGTAATTCGGGTAAAAATGTTGAACATGTTGGAACTGTAAATATAGAGAAAAATGTTGATAAAGATGATAAAGACGAGGACATACTAAAATCTGGAAATGATATTTTGAAGAATCAAAGAGAATCTGTGACAGATTATTTAAAATTAGTAACAATTACTCCTCAAGATGAATTGGACACAGGAAGTCCGAAAGGATCTCTTTCGCCAAGAGAATTATTTTTCATCGATCTCATAAGAGAAGCTGAAAAAGCTGAACGAAACAGAGAACGTAATTCTCTAAAAACCGAAGAGAACCAGTTTTTTCCTAGTAATTTTTCTCAGATTAGAAAAGATAGGAAAGAAGAGCAAAAACTAAATGATGTGTTAACAAATAAAGAGCAAAAAGTAACATATTTCATTGCGGATATAAAAAGTCTTAAGAAGGAAAAGAGTGAAGTATATTTAAAAATTGAATCTGACCAAGAGTCAGCCAAAGAGTGGTCTGTGCATTTGAATAACGAGAAACCAATTCTTATTTTACAAGATAGTTCTAAGAATGAGGAAGATGAAAATACAAAAAAATAAAGTTATTTTATTTGAAATATAATTAGATTAAATAAATTTTGAATAAATACTTAAATCTTTTATTTTATTATTACTTATTAATTTCTTCGCTTCATTATATTATATGCAATAATAAATAACGTCTGTATAATGTCAAGAAGATACGAGAAATTGATACTTCAGAGATACTAATCTTTTTATAATGGCAATAAAGTGATAAATATTATAGATATATATGTGCTATGACAATGACTTTCTTCCAGATGATTGTTGCCTACTACCTAATCAAATTATGATACCACAATTACATCAGGGTAATAGCATAACGGCTATAGCGACGCCTGTACTTTTTTATCAAAGTTTTCCCCTTCAGGTAAAGAGAAGTGGATGTTTTTTCATCAATTCATTAAGTTTTTTGATTATCTTAAATTTCATTTGTAGTTAGAATATGGTATAGAGCCTGAACAGTTATTATTTGTACCTGAACTTAATCCAGTTGAAGGTTGTATGCATAGTGGTCAGGTTGTGGATGGTATTAGGCATTTGTATCTTGGGAAGCAACCGCTTCTCGTTAAACAATGTACAAGGTATTATATGTGATAAGTATATTAAAATTTGTTGGAGATTCCTTTTCTACAGTCTTATAAAAATAAACAAGAATAATTTGTTATAAATTAAAATTTCAGGTGTGTTGGTAAAGCTCAAGTTCAAAATATGACGAGGACAGCTGCAATTAGAGCATGGGATCAAAGGTGGGCACGAGCTTGCCGTTGTGGTGGCATTTGGCGAATTCATAAAACTTCTTCCTAAAGAAGGAATTGACTGAAAATTTATGTTAATAAAATTAATATGAATAAAGTTTGTATTATAACAGTGCTTACAATTTTGTACATAATAAGATAGATATATAATAACATTTTTATGTAATATATAATTTATTTAACATTTTATGTAATATATATTTCTTATAAATAATTCTTGATGAGGATAAATAAAATACCTATTAATTTTTATCATTTTATTTATTCAAGCAAAACAATTTTTATTTTTTGCAACTTGCATCTGATCATTTATTCAGCAAGTGCACACATAAAAATTATTTAAATATTTTTTTAATAATTTTGTACATAATCCAAGAAATATATATCACGACTACATTACGATTTTACAGAATCAGGCAATAATAGATATTGTTAATAATTTATCGATAAACAAATAATTTTCAATTTATATTTGTTATTTCTTGGTAAAATTTCAAATAAAGTTCCATAATTATGGAGATTCCAGTTACATAATCATCAATCAACAAAGAATTAAAAAATCTTTTTCTGCTTCTTCGTTCTTAGAAAATACAATGGCCATGGAAAGTTTATTTGACACAACATAGTTTTTTATGTTTCATTACATGTAAACCGATTGTTAATGACTTTCTCCTTTTTTTCCATTCACTCTTTTGAATTCTCCCATGTTTGTTGTTGAAATTGGTAAGCCAAATATAGCTAAATGATCGATCCTTGTTGTTTCACTACCACTTTGATTATCTTTTACAAATATTTGTATATTCTGTACATTTTGAAACTTTACATAACGCAAGGAAATTGGATTACCTTCTTCAATATCCTTTGCTGATAATCTGCATAAAAAAGTATATAATTAAAGCAAATTTGATAGAATATTACTTAACATAAGCAATATAAAATCAATAGTCATTATTACGTCAAATCTTGAATGCTTGTATTAGAATCGGCCATGTCAAAATCAATGGTTCTTGGTTGATTAATAAACAGTTTGATATTTTTTGGTCCCTTGTCTTTGGGAGCTTTAATTTTCAAAGAATGCACTTTAACTGCTTGCGTAAATGCAATAGATAAAATTAGTTGTTCATCACATTCACTTTCCAAATATCCATCATCAGAATTTAAGCATTGTAAGAAGTTGTGATCATCAGATTCATTTAAACATTCACATTGTACCTTTGTAATGAAACTAGACAGATCCATCTGTAAAAAGTATATTTGAGAATTTCTAGAGTATTTTTGTGGCGTATCCTATCTGTAATACTTTCATATATGATAAAGTTGGGTACAAACATCCAGGGAAATATGTATACATATAGTGTAATAATGTATACATATACATATATACTTTTCTTGTTTTTATTAAGAGTGAAAGAACCTAAATGCAATACAATAAATTTGATTTTGTAATATATTTAGAAATTATATTTAAAATATTATAAAATTATAAGTACATGCAGTTGATGACATGATTTATATTATATATTTCAATTAATGGTTTTTTTTTATTAATGAATATGTTATAATAGTGTTAATATCCACTGAAAGAAGGTTACCACAACTTTTCTTATTGGTACTTATTCCAGAAGTACAGAACTGCAGCAAGAAATATCATTCCAAAAATATGGTAATAAGCATTATCACTATTTCGTACATGTCCAGATATTGGACTCTCAGAATCCTCTGAATCTCCACTGCCATAAAATTGCTGTATTTTTGACTCCAATCCAACTGGATCAGCTCCTTGACATAAGCCCAATTTTGTTTGATTGCGATAAAATATGAATGTAGGCATTGCACTAACTCCTTGCATTGCAGCAATCTCTGCACATTTGTCTACATCAACCTTAAGAAACACTGCATTTGGATATTTCGATGATAGTTGTTCAAATATTGGTGCAATTCTTTGGCAAGGACCACACCTGTAGAATTACAAGATAATTTTATAATAAAATTATAAGACTAATCATGTATATCTGTTATATTTATAGAAATATATAAGATTAAGTATGGTTGATTATAGTTATTTCAAAATTCAATAAATTTTATATTTGGTTTTTTTTTAAAAGGTCGAGTTTATTATTATTTAGTGTCGTGTCAATGACAACAGCATACAAAAATATTAAACATAATTTTTTAAGTAATGTTATAAAATAATAATTTGCAAATATGTGTGAGTATAGAAAAAAGGAGAAAGTAAATGAAAATTTACAAATCGATGAAATTGGGGTTTTTAAATCTTAGTAACCTTTTATTTAATATAACCCTAAAAAGCTCACCATGTTGCTGTGAAATCGACCACGACCAATTTTGTACCCGCACTAGACATTTCCCCATAAAATTGGCTATCATCATTGATTGCGCGTACACCCATTGTATTTTTAAATACAATGAAAAATAACGTAAATGAAAAAAAACGTGTCAACGTCTATTGAAATATCGAATGACTGGCACTTTGAGTATATGAAATCGAGTTTTAGAATACATTCAATTTTATGGCTAATTCACGTTAAAATATTTCAGGCTTGCGATTGGAGATTCCAATAAAGGTAGTATGCATATGAAGAATCCGGATAAATTGGAAACGGAGTATGGAAATATGTATGAAAATGCGGCTTTAGATTAGCGCGCCAACTATGGAGAACTTCCAGCAAGCATGCAGAGGTGGTATGCAGTTTTCTCATTATATTTGTTGAAATTTTGAAGAATTTGGTAAGTGAAAACGATATTTTATATATAAAAAAACGCCTTTAACGATTAGTGATTATTTTCAATACAAATTATAGGATTTAGACGAGTTAAGTGTGTTATACTGATTAAATATATTTCAAATGGACGCCATGTTGAAAATTCAAACGCAGTTAGGAGCTTCCAACAAGTGGGAAAAGGCAGTGTGCAACTTTTTCGTTATATTTATTGAAATTTGTAAGAATTTAATAAGTGAAAACAATATTTTATACAGAAAAACGTCTTTAACAATTACTGATTATTTTCAATATAATTTATAGGATTTAGATGAGTTAAGTATGTTGGACTGGTTAAATATATTTCAAATGGAAGCCATGTTGAAAATTCAAACGCAGTTGGGAACTTCCAACAAGTGGGAAAAAGCAGTGCGTAACTTTTGCAGTGTGAATTTATTAAAATTTGCAAGAATTTGGTGAGTCAACAATATATTGAAAAATCTATTTATAATAATGATTATATTCAATAATAGTGATCATATTTGTTTTTCTAATATAATTTATTAGGAAAACATTGCATATTTGTTGATTATATTTCGAATTGGTACGTTGGTGAAACTATGTTGAAAGTTCAAACGTAGTACCTTGCAGTTTTAATTCGTAAATACGATTGTTTTATTCTTATTCATAGAATGCTGTGTGCATAAATTTCATTTAGAAGTATTCTTACATATAATATATCAATAAACTGAAATTTTACATTATTAATATTTTATTTACTTTATAATTAGTAGTTTACAAGTAAATGTTATTTTCCACATAATGATAAAATATATGTCTACCTTCTCCGAATTTTGTTCCTAAATAAATTTTGCATTGAGGGCAATAATGTGCTGTATTTTTATATACATTCGTGTAGTATGGTATCATGCACATGCTGTAAAAATGAAATTTGTTTTTTTTTTCAAGAATGCTTCACTTTCGTTCATTTTGAATATATATATATTCCAAATGAACAATATTCTTTATTTTATATATAACTTACCAAACAGGAAGCAAAATTGCAGCCATAGTATGTGTTAGATAAGTATTGTAATGATAAATTTCAGTTTTTATGCAATTTAAACAATTTGGACAAGTCGTTTTATATGGATATTTATCGAATTGAGTATGTTCTGTGAATGAAGGACAAACATGAACCGATTATCTTTTTTACAATCTATTGATAGTAGAATTATTGATTTCAATTTGCTTACCTCGCGTTGTACGAGGAAATTTACGCTTTTCAAAAATATTCTTTGTATTCCACTTGAATTTCAAGAAATATTTCTTGTTCAATTTATACTTGTTTAATATTTCCATTAATTTAGTAAATTCAGTGGGAGAATAAATATCTTAATAACAAAAATTTTATATATTTTGGGGAATATTTAAAAATATATTTGATAATTAAAAATATACAATTGAAATGGAGCTATATAGAATAAAATATACATTAAAATTTTAGAATTTTAGAGATTGTTGAATAATTTTATTATATTATCAGGAATATTTAATTAAATGTTTTTGAATTCGTACATGCAATCTTTCTACGCGAATATTCTAATATCTTTAACCACAATTAAACAAATACTTAAATGATGACAAGAAGATTATTATTATAAGTGATATAATAATATAGTTTTCGGATTAACTGTAGAACATTATTTTTGCTTTTGATATTGAAAAATCAACGAATCATTAGCATATAATTTGATAGTTATCTACTATTTTAATGACTAGTTCCTAATTTTTAATCACGTCTTTTTATATAAATTCATATGATTATATAGTCTATTTTATGTAGTCCAATTTTCAACAATCTCTTTCTAATTTTTAAATAATTTCCCTATTTTTAGGTAAATGATTGGTTGTGATGCGCAAAAATGCATTACTGCATATATTCATTTCATTCAGCAATTTTAACCTTTTAACTGCCGTCTGTATCCCATATCGAATTAAATTGCCTGAAAAATATTTGGTATTAAATAACATATGATTTAAAATAACGAATAACAATTTGACAATTGATTTTATTTGACATCGTAGTTTTATTTGACATCACGAAGGAAGCACGTGAAAATTTCGTTAGAAGGAGCAGTAAAACTTTCGCTTATTCTCTTGAATTCTTCAACTTTAAAATTCAACAAGACGAGCTAAGTTTTTAATTGCTTACCTACGTTCTTATCAGTGTTGGATAGGAAATAACGTTATCAATCAGAAACAGGATGGCGAGATGTCGCAAATTCGCACGGATGCCTCGAATAAGGAAGAAAGTGAGGTTTGAACATAGTCAGAATGGAAAACGATGAAACGGTACTATTGTTTGAGGATCCCGATTGTCAAACTGGGGGCTAATGTGGCATTCAAAGGAAGCTTGATACTTGACCTCCTAATAATCAATGCTCAATTCAGCTAGTGGTTTAATTTTACTAACACTCGTCGAAATTGGCGTTTCCACGAAAGCTTGTGAAAATCAATTAGGTGGAGAACCGTCGCCGATGAAGTAGGTCTGTGTTGGTGAAGTCGAAGCTATTTTCTCGCGTCTTAAAACAGAAAATCGTGATGTGGTTTAACTAAGTGAAATTCGATCAGTTGTTTGCTCTTCATTTATTCACATTTGTCGGCCGATCTAAAAATGCCGAAAGTTTGGCGAGCTTGTGGAAACAAGCTTGTGAAATTTTCATTATTAAATTTTAGGAGACACGGCCAAAATCTTAAATAATCGTAGCTAGCGATTGTTCGGACAACGCATAAGTAAATCATAGGATATATGAAAGTAAAAGCACATACATTGGTGTATTGAATAGATACGATGAGGTAGTGGGATGTGTCGGCGTAGGAAGTATCTAGCTAAGAGAAAACCATTGTCTGGGGAACGTGAACACTATTTGCTGGCAAAGTAGATTAGGTCGGTATTGATAGAGAGAAAGAGAAAGAGAAAGGGAAAGATAGTGGTGGAAAGAGAGTGAGAGAGTGAAACTGAGACGGAGAGAGAGAGAGAGAGAGACAAGAGAAACGAAGGAAGATGATGAGAAGAGAGAGATGAGAGAACGGTTGTGTTCTCAGAGAGAGGCCAATATAGACGCTCGAGATGGGATATAGCAATAGAATTTCGCTTACGAGGTATAACCGCGTTAGACGATGCCCTTTGTTGTATCAGTGCGCAATTGCCTTAAGTTCTGATCTTGTCCGATATTGATGTTCGAGAGGCCGGTGAAACCTCCGATAGGATACTAAGAGTTCTATTCGCCTTCGGTCGTTTCCTGACTGCGTCCGGTTAGTTACCAACTTCCTTCGTTTTTTTATCTTTTTGCAAATTCTCGAGAAATCGTATTTCATCTACCAGAGGACGGTATGGAAGTGCTCGTGTTACTTCTACGAAATATTTTCTTGTGAATATTTCGATGGGGGGACTGGGAAGAATCGCTGCCACGAAGAGTTAACTTGACTTTTTAATAATATAGAAAAAACGGAAACAAATCTGGAACGTACGCGTGAAACGCCTCTTTTTAATGTATTTGCTATTTGTTAAAAAAAGAAAAAAGAAATTGTAATTGTCGAATTGTTCTGTCGCTGATTAAGTTTTCTTATCATACGTTCATAGAATTCAATTTTGCGGAAGTGTGTACAGAAATAGCAATTTCACGGTGCATTTCCTGAATAAGTAGAAACGTAGAATTCCGCAAGTCGGAATGTTGTAATTGAAGTACATTCAAAGTAGAGAATATCGTTACGTTACACGTATATACATGGACCTCATGGGAACTCACCTAATTCTCTACTCTTAACTTCATATCGCTTTATCTGGCATTTTAGGTTGAACTGGGAAACTAGAATAGAGATGCCAGACAGTCCGATATTCGACCATAATGCTGAATTTAATTAGATGTCATTGCGGCAGTTTCCATAATTCTCTCTCTTCGTTCCGCCTTGCCGATGCTTTTCCCTTCTCTGTTGCGTGTTCGAACGCGAATTTCTTGCAAATTGGAATAAAAACATGGCACAGAGAAATGTCAAACGTTGCTCAAGCGTGAAAATCCTCTGAGGTTCCTCGTCTCATTTGACGAATGCTTTTAATTTTGGTACGCGATTCAATGCGCGATACATTATTTCTACTGTCGATCGAGAGTGAGAGGTAGAGGTGTACGTTACATACGTCATTCATAGTTCTCGTTCGAAAAGTAAAGTAGATGCGTGTAGTCATGCGAAAACTGTTGTGGCCCACGAGCACACGAGCATTCTTAAATGTTGCATAAAGCGTATATCGCCCGCAGATACGAGACCCGATCTGACAGAATAAACAAGGAGAACGAACAACGTTGTTTTATACGCCATTGGCGACTCGCGGTTGAAACGCGCCCCTACGCCATACAACCGTGTTGTGGGCGTAATTTAGTAATGAATACGTATGCGCACGTGAAGTGGTACCTGCTGATATGTAGGTACGTAACATCTGGCGGCCTATGAAATGCAGGACTGAGAGCAGTCTGCAGTTGAACGTTACGACCGGCAAGAGTTACGAGCCCCAACTCAATCTCCGACTACCCCTACCTCCATATAATTGCGATACTAAAATTCGTACAACTTTGAAAACCCATAAATTCCCGTCCGCTCTTATCCTCGATTTCAAGTTGATTTCGAAACACTTTATTTAACGATTTGTTTCCGCGCGCGGAAGTAATTGGCGCGTTTTTCCGAAACTAATTGTTGTTCGCCTCTTGTTCCCCAGCTATTTGGTAGTTTTATTATTTGA